TGTAATTGCGGTCCTTTCAGTTCTACAATTTGTAGGAGTCTCAGAAGTAGAGAGCGAGATGAGAGATAGCGGGCGCCAAGAAGAGGGAGGAGTTCTCCGGGACGAGAGAGCATGTATATCAGCGAGAAGACGTACGTATAGAGGAGGGACTAACGCGTTAGACGGACAGACCCCCAGGCCAGGAGACTTGCGTTTCGCCGGATAGCGTTGTTTTTAGACATCTTCTGCCCCACGGCGCCTATATCGCATCGCACACGGCTCCTGCTCCTTTTCGGCTTATTTGTAAGATTTCGCTCACCACATTCTGGACTGTGCCTTTAAGTCCGTGCGCGATATTTCTGTCAGTGTCTCATTCTGGCGAGGAAACCGTATAGTTCTACAACAAATTGTCTATTTGAATTATTCCAACGATCTTCTGAGCAGCTCCCTGATTGTTTCAGTGACCAAAACTATCCATTCTCTACACAAACGACCGCATATACCAATAACCATTGAATCTGTTGCAATTATGGCTTTCGAATGACTTAAAATAAATCATTTAGCATCGGCCACGTATTGACTGGGGATCATTTGAGATCATCAACTCCACCTACGCTTGCCTCGGAGTTTTGTCAAGCAGTAAAACACCTTGGAAGTATTTTCAGGTATTTTCCGATATTTCATATTGTACTTGGCTTGATACCTTTCAAGGAGGATTCCGCGATGAGGTCGGAAGTCGAAGACGGGAAATCTATCTAAAAAACAGGTGGACTCCCGTAAGGGTAAGGACCGACACGCAATTCTTCGGAACGGATACGCCCCAGCGACCTAGCATGGCCCTCCCCGCGCGCTGTCGGCGCGGTACGCCCATCGAATGGTAACCACTCGTCGCTTCGAAATTGCTCTGGCAAATGATTGGTAATCTATTGAGACCCTTTTCCAATGGAATTGCAAAAGAACCTCCTCAGCACCTCACGTCCACTTGAGACTACTACTCTTGAGAAACAAGGGCAAGAAGAGCTTGTTGTGATCAGTTTAAAAGCCATAACAAGTAGTGGCACAATGAGCTGGTCGGTGACCGCTAAAATATGCATAATGGTACGTCCCTTGCGCCCTACACAGAGACTTTTGCTCACGTACTCTTGCCGGTTGATCGCTCTTTTTCGAAAGCTGCCAATATCCCACTCGACGATTCAGGCGAGCCTCACTTGCTGGTGTCTTTTGCTTTGCCCTGTCGGACATTTTAACATTAGATCACAGCTGAGATGTCGGTCAGACTCTGCGATTGCATCGCGCGATGCAGTCGCTCTGCCTAGAGCGATTGGCATCGCTCCAAAGTGCGAGCGACGGGAGATTTACCCGAGCGGCGCCGTGTGTATCGGTCGTCGGCGGGGTAAATCTCCCGTCGCGCTCGCAAACTTTGAGCGATGCCCAATCGCTCTAGGCAGAGCGACTGCATCCGTGCGATAAATCGCTTACTACCGACATTTAAGGTTCGTGTTGATGGCGTCAGACTCGACTGTTCCACTTTCGCCCAAATACGGAATCAACGGGGAATCAAAGTCCGCTCTGGGCGTTTTCAGGACGTTTCATCTCCGTTTGTACTCTTGGTGCTGCGCCTCCTCCTACATTCATTCTCAACTGCGACTAATTTATTGCGCCATCTGCCCTTAAAGCCTTTCCGTTTTCAAACTGAGGACTAATATATTAGGCCGGTGACAGACGCTGCAAATTCAGCGGTTCGCGAGGTAGTACGGTACCCAGAAGCTGTTACTCAACCGAATGCATCATGCGTGCAAAGAAATTAACGCACAGCGACTCCAGCAGGACACGTCAAGCGAGGTAACCTACTTCGCACGATCGATTCTCCCTAACTTTCCCCGGACCTCGCGTACCGCTGAGAAACGAGTTCCCCCGCAGCTTTCCCACCAGGGTCAACCACCCGTGGCGCAAAGAACAACGAGGGGGTCGTATTCGATCGAACGAAAGGGAAGGGGGTCGTATCTAGAGAGTTGGGGCTGCAAAGGGCTGCAAGACGGCTTGAAAAGTGCAGTGTCCTGCAGTGCACATTCACGCTCTAATGTTCTCCAGGAGCTCTGCACCGTGCAGCTGTCGGAGAGTCACACAGACAAGAGCTCCATGGGAGCATTAGAGCATGCAGAGCATTATAAGTCTCATTGTCAGCCATTATTTTCCTTAATACACGGACGCGCTTCTTTTCACATCGACTAGATCACCACAGCATAGCCTCCAACGATCTACAAACTAAGTCAACACAACCTCTATAGTCCTCACACTCAGCACTACACGCGTAGTGCAAAAACATGGTCTGTCTTCGATGATCAAACATTCCTGAAATCCCAAGGAGAACAAAGTGTAGAGCAGTTCATGGGGAAGTGAAACAAGAGTACCATATAACAGTACAATGCAACTTCAGATCAGGGTACTAACACCTTCCTCCCAGGAGGAATACCCGAAGCCTAATTAATAATGCAGTGCGACTTCTGCCTACAGACAGGTGAAAAAGGCCAGAAAATATTCAGCCCAACAACGAGCAAAAAGACAAAACTTATAACATAAAAGACGCCTTTTCCATGTCGAGGCGGCCGCGAAGCAAGACAAACTTTCTGAAAGAAGATAATTTAGAAATAAGCTTTACCACAACAAAGTTGAGCGGAAAAAGAGAATAAGACGAATTTAGACAGAATAGAAAATTCCTAAGAAGAAACCACCTTATCTAGGAAACCATTGACGATACAAAGACGGGAAGAAAATTTACAAGAGGCCAACAACTTCACACTACTACTCATAGCAGAGCCTCTTCGTCGTAGATTTAACAGCTCTTATCCCGCATTCTCATCACACACCACCTTACCCTTGAATGGACGTTGTGGGCCTTTGAGACTGTCATAGTCGCCGGCTCCACGGAAATGCGCTTGAAAATAACCTCAAGGGGAAAAACGGAACAACGGTGATCCCGTTTATTTTGAGCGAACGTAGATATATTCAATCACACCAGAAGTTTTAGAACTCATCTCGGAAACTCGTTACGCCCCCTGATTTAATTATGTCTTACAAGGGAAGGATACCAAGTCGAAGTGGCCGTCCGTAATGAAACCTATACTCAGAGATGTATTTTCGGACGCTGATCTCAAATCCGCTCTCCAAATCTGCGAAACGATTCTCTGAAAAAAGTTACGGGGGTTGTTTCAAATGAATGTTCATTACAAGAGGCGCGTTCAATGAGGGCTGCCAGCGGCGTCCTGGCCGAGTGGTAGTGGTGGCGCCTCATGCTGGTGAGACTATGGTTCGGTTCTTGGTGAAGTCCAAGTTTTTGCTTTTATCAATTATGCCTGTTTTCAGCCCAAAAGAACCTTTAGTGTGGAAATTAACACAATGTACAACGCAGTCACTTGTTTGGGGGCTCACTTCAAGCATAAATCGCTTTCTTCACGAAGTTTTCGATCAATTATTCTACAGGTGTCGAGATGTTGCCACGTCACCAGAGATGACGTCATTTCGGTGAGAACTATGAGTAGCATAAACGGTAGAGATACCACTATCAAATCAATAGTGTCTTACACTGAATATGTTCTGTCCCCAAGTTGTGGTGTCACACTTACTGAAGAACTTTGGTTCTTGTGACATTGAGCGTAGCCCATCCAGGATGGAGCAGAAGGTGATAGACAGCTTCACGTCAATCTTGAGAGAAGCCGTGCTTGACAATCTGATTGTCGAATGCAAAAAGAGGATATCGTCGTCAAGAAGAAGAGATGATCCTCTGTGGGAAGGCCAGGCCCCCGGAAAAAAAATTTTGAGGGGACGATAAGGAGACCACCGCGAGCTCGAAGTTATACATTGTGTTAATTTCCACACTAAAGGTTCTTTTGGGCTGAAAACAGGCATAATTGATAAAAGCAAAAATTTGGACTTCACCAAGAACCGAACCATAGTCTCACCAGCATGAGGCGCCACCACTACCACTCGGCCAGGACGCCGCTGGCAGCCCTCCATTGAAGGCGCCTCTTGTAATGAACATTCATTTGAAACAACCCCCGTAACTTTTTTCAGAGAATCGTTTCGCAGATTTGGAGAGCGGGATTTGAGATCAGCGTCCGAAAATACATCTCTGAGTATAGGTTTCATTACGGATGGCCACTTCGACTTGGTATCCTTCCCTTGTTAGACACTGTTAAAATCTGATTTATGAATAAGAAAGTTATGAGCGTTTGAATGTCTGAAAGCCTCTCGCGGGTACCAAAACGGAACATGGGACTATTTCTGAGTAATTGAACATTCGTAACATTTCAAATACTTTTTGAGAAGAAAACTATTTGAATTTTGAAATTTTGGTGTCCGGTTCCATGAGACCGCTTCTGAAGAAAAATATAACCTTCTGAATGGAGGGGTTTGGATTGCAACGTAATTGCTACAAAGGATTTTAGTTTTTTCAGATTATAAAATAAGGAAAATTTGAAGAGATCGAAAAAAAAAACTTGCGTGGGCTCTCTAGAATACGAATCTCTAATGATTACTATCTAATATCATTGCGTGTACGCCGAATCGGGAATTCTCTATTCACCAATGAATAAACTTAATAGTTGCGAGTCGCTTCCTTTTCTGAACAAAGCGAGCGGATTGACCACGCTCCATCACTTCTCCATGTTGGTGACTGCCCACGCATCAATGATGAGCATTAAATTATGTGAAAGATATAATAGTTAATACGGGGGTTGTACCGATACCCTCCGAAAAGGAAGGGATCCCGTAAAAATCCTGGAATTTGCGCAACGCAGGGTTGACTCTGTTTCCCACACTCTTGGGTCGCTTGCGCATCGTTACTATCATTGGCGCGTCGCTCGTATCTCGCGATTCGCGCGATCTGATGGATTCGCAAAGTCTGACATCAGGCTTACGCTCCCAAAAGTGGATGAGATCAGGAATTAATCAATCTCATAGATTATACATGTGCATTACAGTATCTCTCTGGAGTTGATATTCCATTGAAAACTAACCACGAAATGGTTGAAATACTCAAAGCATGGAATGACACGGTGAACTCCGAATTCGCACATTTCCAGCCACAACGAATTCGCAGCAAAAGGGTAAGCAATTTTTGGACTAAGCTCCACAACACAATGTTGAAAAGTTTTTTCATAGGTAGAGTCCGCACCACTTCCACTCTTCAAATCTTCGCTCTCCGCTACAGTGCCGAGAAAGGCTGTGGATCGGATAGTTCAGGTATGCTATCAGATGCAAACTGCGCTTCCTGTAATCAATACGTGTATTCTGCGGACAACGGGTGATTAACTCGCGGAGTATAGAAGCATAGGTTGAGAGGAACGTGTCAAATTCTCACATTTTGCGAACAGACAGCCAGACATACCGACTTAAAGGCAAAGTTCGGGCTCAGACCCACCTAAGAAGCCCTTACCATGGCTAGAAGTGCTGGGTACGCAAGTGCAAAGGTAGCGCCACCTTTCTACATCGAAACGCGTCACTAGGACCCTAGGCGCCATGGACTTCTAACAGACTCCACCAAACTTAACATGGTCCGCCCACCGTTCGATATCTTGTCTGCGTCGCCACGTTGATCTGCTATGCTCTCTCTTCTCGGACTTCTCTACCGCTCTCCGCGCTCACATTATCTCTCATCTCCCTGCCTGTCTTTTGAACTTCTCCACAGCATAGAGCAAAATGCTCGTATTTCCTGTGTATTTCAGGATTTTCTTTTTTTTTCCACTGGCGGTCCACCTCCCACCCCTACTTTCACATTTGAGTGGAATCACCCCATCAATTTAATCCTGATTCTTGCCCTTAAGCATGCACACCAACAAATTAACATAGCAGGTTGGTGATTACTATCAAAATCATAAGTAATACCTATATTTATAGAGCTCAGAAGCTCGTGAGCTGCTGAAATTTCTTCGGAATACCTCGATACCAGATGAGAGCTTCTGGTCAACTCTCTCGGGAAACATCGACAGTGAGTTTCAATTACTACTACTCGAAGAATTGGGAGCTAGCGACCGACCCTGACCAGCTACAGTGCGTCTAAAGTTCTAGTTCCTCTATTTCGCTTACCCTTGTAGAGTTACACGCTGCGACATGGATTCAACGCACCTGCCTGTCAGAAAACTTCTGCAATATTCTAGTTCCCGTATTAGCGCAGCAAGGCTCCAGACTGCGGCAGAAGGTCCTGATCAAATTGAAATATTGAGAGGTCTTCTTGAGATGGTGCGACCACTGACTGCCATATCCTTGTCAGCCTCACCATACCCTTTTTTCGATGAAAAAGAATCAAGTGGACCTATACTACTGGAACGTTAGGTTTGGGAAAAATCAGATAAGATGTTGGTAGCTTGTTAGGATTTCAGAGACATGAGATAAAAAAAGATAAAGCATTTGCCGTTGATCAATCCCTTTTTGGGATGCGGCACGCATTCTACTTCCATTTGTACATTCGCAGTGGCGTTTGAATGCGATGTGGCCTATACAATGACTTGCGGGGGCCAGCCGATGTTCAAGTCAGTGTTTTTATCCTCCCAGACAAGTCTGGTACCAATTAACCGACCCCGGAGGGATGGAAGGCTTTGGGCGACTCACGACCCAGGATTTGATCCCCGGACCGCTCGCGTGGTAAGCGTGCCACCTTACTACTA